TCATACGATTACACTCAAGTTTCACATTTAGGGTTTAGGGTTTATTACGTCAAGCCTACAAGCCCCGAGCTCCACGGAATAAGCAATGGTCCTCCGTCGGGTTCCCTCGAATATGCCTGAAGCAGGAACCGAATCCAGCAAATCCTCGTCTAGTCGTTAAGGTCCGGCTCAGGCTTTAGGGCTACAAGCTTCATCAATTCTGCTAACTAGACTAACCTTACTCTAAACCCGAAACCCTCAACCATAGAACCCTTGCTAGAAGCCTAAGACGTTTTAATCACACCCCAAACGGCCTGGATGTAGACCTCGTCCGCAAGGCTCTGGCTACTCCGGGCCACACTGATAATGTCCTTCAGGGTTTAGGGTGTCGGGTTTAGGGTTTAGGGCTTCTGAAACAGCTACCTTTGTAAGGCCGGAGCAAGGAATCCCAAAATGTGCAGGCTTTGGGCTGCAGGTTAGCGGTTTAGGGTTTAGGGCTTAGGTTCAAGGTACCCCAAACCCAAAACCCCGCAGGGTTTCGTGATTGCTCAAGCGGTCAAGAAAGGTTTCAGAGCTGTTATGTGTGGTTCAGGAGTTTAGGATTAGAATACCCTAGACCATCCTAAAGCCTAAAACCCTTAAACAAATGGAACCTAAAACGTTGGCCTAAACCCTAAAACCCTTTAAAATTTAAAATGGAACCTAAAACGTTGGCCTAAACCCTAAAACCCTTTAAACATAATGGAACCTAAAGCGTTGGAAACCCAATCGCCCAAATCCTTAAGAGTAGTTCGGAGTCCCGGCACTCATTGTCCTTAATCCGGTTCGGTTTAGGGTTTAAGGTTTAGGGTTTAGGGTTTAGGGTACGTTTCGTTCGGGCCTAAGATTTGGAGTTTGAGGGTTTGGGGTCTGTGGCCCTAAACCCTAAACCCCAAACCCTCAACGGCCCTAAACCCTAAACCCTAAACGGCTCGGGTTTAGGACCGGCGACGAAAAAAAACCGTGCATTCCCGTTCCGGCCGATGCCGACGGTTGAGCTTTGCCGTGTTTTCTATTAGCCCAGGGTTTAGGGTTTAGTTTAGGGTTTAGGGTTTAGGGTTTAGGGTTTAGGCAGTTTAGGGTTTAGGGTTTAGGGTTTAGGCACTGACAAGGCAGGAGACAAGTACTCGAAACTGTTAGGATCGGCATTTGGTGCTAGTTGTTTGGTTGTGGTACAAGGGGTTCCGATGGGCAGCCTACGGTCACGTGCTAAAGATGAACACATGGACCCTTACTTACGGATACTTTCGAGCAACATGGGGTTCAAGGCTTCACCACTAAGCGGTACAGGCTCTA